CATCAACACCTGGAAACACAGGCACCAAATTTAATCAACAGGAGAACTAACACCCAAGGAAAGAGAGTTAATAAATAGAGGAAGACATTAGAACAGGGAAATTCATACCTCTGGAGAGATTTAACAGGATCTTTCTCTAGAAACAACTAGAGATATTAAAAGTTTGAATTTTGCTGATTTTCTTTTTTTTAATTTTTATTCTTTTTATTTTTTTTAAAGATTTTATTGGGGAATTGGGGGAGGGGAACAGCGTTGGGGGATTGGGGAAGGAGAATAGACAAGTTGCTGTCCTTTTATTCTTCAGTCTAGTTGTGGAGGACATCGATCACTGGCCCATGTTGGTATTATCATTGCACTCTTCCTGGGTGAGGCAGATCGGTCACCGGCCACCGGACAGCTGCTCACAGCAGCTCCTGGCAGCTCATACCGGCTGCCAGCCATTCACAATAGATTTATGGCAGCCCACTGCAGCCTACGCCGTCGCCGGCGACTCACAGCAGCCCAGCTCCAGGTTGAGCTGTTGTTCACCATCTTAGCTGTAGAGGGCAGAGTCACTGGTCCTCATGTGGGATCCAAATTGGGACCCTGCTGCTCAGAGCTGGCATCCCAAGCCAGCTCTTAACCAACACACCACTCGGCTGGCCCATGAATTTTGTTAATGTTTTTAAAAAGACAGAAACAGACAAAAAGGTGACTATCACCTTTTAAAATCAAGCTAAACAATTTTATAAGAACACAGTACAAAAAGGCAAAAAGAAGGCCGGCCAAGTGGTGCGTTGGTTAAGAGCTGGCTTGGGACGCCAGCTCTGAGCAGCAGGGCCCCGGTTTGGATCCCACATGAGGGCCAGTGACACTGCCCTCTACAGCTAAGATGGTGAACAACAGCTCGACCTGGAGCTGGACTGCCAAGAGCTGCCATGAGCGGGCCGCCCAGAGGCTGGTGACCAATCTGCCTCACCCGGGAAGAGCGCAATAATAATACCAACATGGGCCAGTGAAGCCACGTCCTCCACAACTGGACTGAAGAACAAAAGGATAGCAACTTGTCTGTTCCCCTTCCCCGATTCCCCAATAAAATCTTAAAAAAAAAAGGCAAAAAAAAATTTGGAATAAAAATGAAGAGACTTGAAAGCACAGTTCTGGGCCAACATTTGTCCAACAGAAGCTCCAGAGGACAGAAGAAACACAATGGAAGAGAATAATAATAATAATAATAATAATTATTATTATTATTAATGTTCCAGTGCTAAAGAAGACAAAAGCCTTCAGACTGGAAAGACCCCCTGGGGTTCCATCGTGTAATGGTTAGCACTCTGGACTCTGAAAAGACCCCGTTTTAAATGGGACAAAGATAACGACACTGATATAGTATATGGATAAAAGGTACTATATCTATCAGAAAACATCTTGACTCTATACATACACAAGGACAGAGATTTGAAGTATATAAAGCAAAAACAGAAATATAAGGGAAAATCAACAAGTTCACAGAAATCAATTGAATTAAATAGACAAAAATTAAGTAGGAGCTACAGCAATAGTTTGCTAATGAGCATAAGAATTTCCTGGAAGTCTTATTAGAAATGCAGATTTTGAGCCCCCATCCCCCTCCAGGTCCAATTGTAATATCTTTAAGAGGGGTGTGAGAAGTTGCATTTTAATAAGCAGCCCAGGTGATTCTGATGTAGGTGGTCTGGAACCATACTTAAAGACTCACAAAGCTGTGTCGGCCGAGTGGCTCAGTTGGTTAAGAACACGGGCTCTGAGCAACGGGATTCCCACATGGGCCAGTGAGCTGCGCCCGAGCTGAGCTGCTACTGAGCTGCCAACAGGTGGCAGGATGGCTCAACTGGTGAGAGCACATGCTCCTAAAAAGGTTGCCAGTTCAACTCCCTCACGGAATGGTAGGCTATGCCCACCTATAACTAAGATTGAACACCGCACCTTGAGCTGAGCAGCCGCGTGCTGCCGACAGGCGGCTGGACTTGGAGCTGAGCTAGCTGTGCCCTCCACAGCTAAGATTGAAGGACAACAACTTGGCTGTTCCCCTTCTCCAATTCCCCAACACTGTTCCCCTTCCCCAACTCTCCAACACTGTTCCCCTTCCCCAATTCCCCAATAAAATCTTTAAAAAAAAAAAGACAAGGCTAAGTCAATGAATAGCTTGATTTAAAAGATATAATAAGAACTTTGCACTAAAACGAGAATGATTATTCTTTTGAAATACCAAGGACATTCATTAAAATGATCTGCTAGACCACAAATAAAACCTAAGAAATTTCCCCCAAAACCAGAAACCAAACAAGGCATTCTCTGATCATAATGTGGTAAAATTAAAGATTAACACAAAAGGAGAACAAAAACTCAAAAACAGACAAACAAAAAAACCTACTTAGAACTCTTTTACTTTTCTCTATTTCTTCCTTCTAAATAACTAGGGAAAGAAAAAAAAAACCCCTAGAATCACAAACCAATTAGAGAGAAATGACAATGAAAACACTACATACAGAGCAAAATTTGTGGGATAAGAGCAAAGCAGTGTTCAGAGGAAAATTTATAGCCTTAACACTGATATATTAGAAAACAAGCCTAAAAAAAATTGAATTAAACAATCAACTTAAGAAGATAGGATGTGGGGTGGGGGTAAGGGAGAACCAAAGCAATAAAGTAAATCAAAAATTTTAGAGAAGGAATCAAGGTAAAAGTAGAAGTGAACTGAATAGAACATAATAAATAAATGAATAAACGATGAAATAAACAAAGTATACATGTTCAATAAAACCGAAAGCTGGGCATGGTTTGGCTGGGTGGGTGGAGAGAGCTTTTCATTGTCTACTCAGTTTACTTTTGAATTGTTTGAATCTTTTCTAATGAGAAAGCACTCATGTATTAGATGGCATATAAAATAATGAAAAATAATGTAAAAATACCTAAGAAACCCTATATCAGCTATAAATGCAAGTAATAAGAGACATTATTTATTCCAAGATCGATGCAGAGATCATTCTTTATTTTCATGAGGATTGAAAAAGATGCTTTAGGGCCGGCCGAGTGGCTCAGTTGGTTAAGAGCACAAGCTCTGAGCAACAGGGTCGCCGGTTCAATTCCCACATGGGCCAGTGAGCTGCGCCCGAGCTGAGCTGCTGCTGAGCTGCCAACAGGTGGAAGGATGGCTCAGCTAGTGAGAGCACGTGCTCCTAACAACAAGGCTGCGGGTTCAAATGGTGGGCTACACCCACCCGCAACTAAGACTGAACTTGGCACCTTGAGCTGAGCTGCCGACGGGCGGCCGGAAAGCTACTGGACTTGAAGCTAAGCTAGCTGCACCCTCCACAACTAAGATTGAAGGACAACAACTTGGCTGTTCCCCTTCCCCAACTCCCCAATTCAAAAAGAAAGAAAGAAAAAGATGCTTTAATGAGTCAGGTACCACCCAGTCTCTTCACTTACAGAAATGCCCTCCAGGGTGAAAGGATCACTGTATCTTTCCCTCTGGACTTGCCTTTCATGGGCATTTAGTGCTTATTCAGCTTCCTTCCTCATGAATCATTCATGCCCATCACTGAATTATTCCTGCTCAGCTGGCCTTGTGCTGTCTGATCCACCTGCCCAGGGCCCTGCCTAATGCCATCAGCCAGGCTGTCCTTTCATCTCAGCTGTCATCTCTGGGTGTGTTCAGGGCACCACGCCCCTGATGGTCTGGGTGCAGAGGGGCTGAGACGGGGAAAGACCTCTTCCTCCTCCCTGTCAGGAACAGACAAAGCTCTTATTGTCTGAACCAGAAATTGCAAGCTGGTGGTCTGAAGGCCAAATCTGGCCAGCAGTATATTTTGTTTGATATGTAGAATATTATGAATTGGTTACCAACATAAAATAAGCAAGTAAACAAACAAAAAAACAAAACAAGGCGGCTGGGTGGCTCAGTTGGTTAGAATACGTGCTCTGAACAAGGTTGCTGGTTCGACTCCTGCATGGGATGGTGGGCTGTGCCCCCCGCAACTAGATTGAAACAATTAGTTGACTTGGAGCTGATGGGAAAAACATACTGTTCCCCAATAAAGTAAAAAAAAAAACACCAAAAACACAACTCTGGGAGAAACTGAACACAAAGAGACCAGACACCTGGTTCCACTGGGTCCCTGTTTTGATGACAGTCAGTCGAGCTGTGTCAAGACCGTTCCCGATGCCCCACCACTCCCTACCACATCCTGACATCCGGCCAAGGGCTCTCATTGTTACCCCCTTGCCTGGCTCATGTCATTTACAAAACATTCATTTTCATTGGCACCGTGTGCCAGCAATCCCATATTGCAGAATCCAAACTCTATCTCCCAGACTGACTCTCCTACCCCAGGCATCACAAAAATCCTGTGTCAGATTCTGTGTCCTGATTCAGTTTGGAAAACACTGTCACTGTAATTATAACTTAGTGATGTGATGAGTGAACTCGGCTCGTGTGGGCTGCCCAGGGTGCCGAATCAGTATCTCTACCATAATACCCCCACTCACGGACGCAATTATTCAATTCACTTGCTTAACAAAGATTTATTTGCAAACGAACTCTATGCCAGGCACCTTTCTAAGGACCAGACACAGCACACACCTCTATCTTCTGTGAGGCCTGGGCGAGCAGCCTCGTTTCTCTGCTCCTCAAGAGATAAATTGGGAATGAAGACACCTAGCACTTAGCTCTCAGGGTTGACGCAGCGACAGGCGTCACACACTTGGCATGGTGCACGGCACTTAGTAAGGACTCACGTAACGTGTACCTTCACTATCTTTTTTTTTAAATGTCATTCAGCCAAATTTCTCATGTGTTGTTTTAAATCCTCTGGTAGGTGGGCCAGAGGTTTTTGTGTTCAAGCCAAAGCCTGTTGTGACCTGTGTCGTTTTCCCAGGTGTAAGTGAAGACTCTCTCATGGGGCCCACCCGCGGCCCAGCAGCTTGGCTATGGGGAAGACCTGGCCCTTCGTGGTTAGAATTTGGATAATCAGTCTTACCATCACATCCTCAATGGTCAGGAGGATCCTTTCTCTGTCTGCACTGCTTGGAGGATCGGGATGTCCGTATGTGTTCTGAATGGAGAAGTTAAAATCACAGGGTGAGCTGCGGGTGGGAGACTCGGAGTCCTGGGGACAAGAGCGAGCTGGCGGTGGTCAGAGCAACCCACGTCCCTGAAGACATGCTGGGCCCTCCTTCTCTCCCTCGGCCGCCCCCTGCTGCCCGTCTCCGCACTAGGTCATTCTCTGTCCTGGCTCCCACAGCGGATCCAATCAAACGCATCCCTGCTTTACCAGCAATTTGCAGGAACACACTCGTAAGTGGAACAGGATTCGAACTCAGGCCACGCACTCCTAAAACAGCCCTGAGCCACTGGTTCAGATGGCTGAGTGAGGACCCATGTGGAAAGATGGTCATGCGTTGTTGAGTGAAATAGGTGGGATTATCAATTAGCAGAGATAATATAACCCCGTTTAAGTGAAAATAACAGTAAAAGAAAAAAAAAGGCACTCACTCAAAGGTTATTTATATGGTAATCCAAAACAGAAGTAACCAAGCATCGGAACTGCCCTAAGAATTATAATGATCCCTCATTTTTCAAGTCTCGCCATTGAAATTAATGAATACTAAAGGGCTCTGTGGAGGCAGCCTGCTGGGGACAGGGTGGGCGGGCTGCTCCCCTGGGGGCGCTCCGCCAAGATGGCACAGCTGCCTGATCCACACAGTGCCAACCAGTGGGTGAGCCATCGTGGGCCACACATGGCAGAGCCCACACATGGCAGGCCTGCCGGTGACACACGGGTTGTGACAGGTCTTCAAGCTGTTTATGTGTGTCAGCAAGTAGCAGCACCTTTTAAACACTAAATTATGATTGTGGACAAATATCCAATTCACCCCACTCCACGATCCACACAAAGAAAAACTCAGGGGAGGCGTTCCAGATGTCAGGGTGTCAGTCCTCCTGTCACCTGCTAGGCTCTCCTAAGATAAGATAACTAAACTCGAGAAATACCCCTCACTGGGCATGGGCCAGGGCTGGAACATTCCAGATCAATGATCTCCTCCTGGATATAATGATAATGTGCTGTTTTTGGTCTGCATAAGGTTATGTACCTACCTGTTCACCATAATGATCTTGGAGCAGTGGATTATGAAAGGAATTTTATTTTCTTTGTATCGTTTGAATTTTTTATAGCGACCATGCATTATCGGGGACAAAAGATATCTTAACCATAGAAAAAAAAATGCACATTTGGTTTCATTCCTGATTCTTAAGGGGAGCCAATATTGTTTAAATGGAGACTTATCCCCTGCAACACACCACCCAAGGCAAGCCAGTACGACTAAGACCTGGCACCTTGGTGGAACTTTCTGGAAAGAGGTGCCCTCCTTTCCCTGGAGTTGCTAAACTGCTCAAACCCTGTGCTGGCTGTCCCTCTGCCTCCAAGTAGAACCCCTCATCCTTACCACAGCCCTCCAAGCCCTGTGCGGCCTGAGCCTCAGCTACAGCTCTGGTCATTTCCCAGCTCCCTTGCTCCCCCCGCTCCTGTCACACTGGCCTCCCCCAGCAGGGCCTGCACACCTGCTGCTCCCTCACTTGGGATGCTCTTCTCCAGGTGGTTCACTGCCTGGCTTCCTTGAGGCCTCGGCTCACCCATCATCCCATCGAGGGGAAGCCCCCACCTTCCCACATAAAATGGCAGCCCTTGCCCGGTTTTTCTCCAGCCCCTTCCTCGGCTTTGTCTCTCTGTTAAGCCCTACCATCTCCTGGCATATTATATATGTGTTTATTGTCTGTTTTATTTTCAGTGTGAAAAATGGTGCCTGGGGGCCTGGGGTGGGGACTGTGGCACATGGGGCCTACACCTGTCTGCGGGGAAGCTGTTTCTCAGCACAGTCACTGCTGTCGTGTAAGAAGGTGGTTCTGAAATCTTCCAATTTTTCAACAGAAGCCCCAGCTTCAGACTTTGACATGGAATGTCCTGACTCTTTTTTTATTTTTTTTTTTAAAGATTTTATTGGGGAATTGGGGGAGGGGAACAGCGTTGGCAAATTGGGGAAGGGGAACAGACTAGTTGCTGTCCTTTTGTTCTTCAGTCTAGTTGTGGAAGACGTCACTTCACTGGCCCATGTTGGTATTATCATTGCACTCTTCCTGGCTGAGGCAGTTGCTCACTGGCCCTGGACGGCAGCTCACGCCGGCTGCCAGCCATACACGGTAGCTTATGGCAGCCCACTGCAGCTCCACTGCAGCCTATGCCTACGCCGGTGACTCATGTCAGCCCAGCTCCAGGTCGAGCTGTTGTTCCCCATCTTAGCTGTAGAGGGCGCAGCATCATTGGCCCTAATGTGGGATCCGAACTGGGGCTCTGCTGCTCAGAGCTGGCTTCCCAAGCCAACTCTTAACCAACATGCCACTTGGCCAGCCCTGGAATATCCTGACACTTAAATTCAGACCCACGGAAAGCACCGTGCAAGGAAAGCATTGGGGTGGCGGCCAACAGAACACGTCTGCAATGCGCCCGTCTGTGAACTCAGAGCTACCGAGAAGCTCAAGTGCACCGAGGACACGAATGAAGGTGAAGAACTGGTGCGTTCCAACAGGGGAGGTCGGACGGAACACACGCACGCCACACGCATTTCCTTCTGCTCCATTTCAGGCGGCACTTGCAAACAGTGTGGGGTGGCTGAGTATCTTTAAGCCGCGAGCTTTTTTTTTGTCCGTTCCCTGTTCAGATTGCATCTCTTATGGCTTCTGCCTCTGCCGAGAACAGGCTCTGCCATTTCACTCTTTCATTTAGCAGGAAAATAACTCCGAAGGGAAATTGACTGTGAAGCCGTATGGCGTGCCCCCTCGAGAAGAGGAGGAAAAGGAAAGAGCGCAGCACCATCAAGCCCTCGCAGCGGAGAAAATTCAGGGCTGGCCGGGCGCTGCTGAGTCTGGGCATGCGCAGAGGGGCGCTACCGGGCTGAGGCATTGGGAGCGGCAGGCTGCCGGGTGGCAGGGCGCTTGGGGGCTTGCAAAGGAGGAATATGTGTTCATGGGACAGGTGGGACCAAATGGCCAAGTGAGAAGAGGGAACGACCCTGCCTCGTGCTTGAAGGGTTTACACGCATTCTATGACATGGAGCGGGGCCAGGACGCTAACATACTGAACTTGGCTATGAACCAGCTTCCCAGGCTCAGAGAAACTGATGGTGGTTTGTACAGACTGATCCTGAGCAAAGCACTGTCTGGCTGATTCAAACAGAGAGGAAGAGAGAGAGAGAGAGAGAGAGAGAGAGAGAGAGAGAGAGAGAGTGTGTGTGTGTGTGTGATGTGGGAGGTAGGTGTTAGAAGTAATAAAGCCCAGGGCAGCTGGTTAACTCAGGTGGTTAGAGCGTAGTGCTCATAACACCAAGGTTGCCCGTTCAATCCCCACATGGGATGCTGAGCTACGCCCTCCACAACTAGATTGAAACAGCTACTTGACTTGAAGCTGATGGGTCCTGGAAAAACACAGTTTCCCAATAAAAAAAATAAAGTAAAAGTAATAAAGCCCCTACTTTTGCCTACTGCGCAATCCCATTTCTATGGGCGGGGTAAGGAAACAAGGTCATTGGGTCATCCACAGAAAAGGAACACATAACAGAAAGCGCCCGAGAGCAGCTGGAGCACGCAGCCAAGGCCAGGCCTACCTGTGGACGACCCACAGAAGCATCCTCTGCCTGGCCAGGCAAGTCCTCACGTGGCTCAGAATCTTCCGAAGGGTCCAGAGGAGGTTCGATGTGGAGCCGCAGGCCAGCTTCGGTTCTGATCTGCACAGATTTCTGGACATGAAAATTCAGACCATTTCAGATATGGGAGAATGAACATTTTGACTGCTCTGGGGTGAGCAGGTTGGGGCTGACTGCAGGGCGGGGGTGGGCGGTGATGGGCAGGGATGGGCGCCCTGCAGGCGTGTTCTTGTGGCCGGACAACGTCGGGCATGGGCCAGCCTGGTTGGCTCTAGCCACGTCCACTCAAAAGTCTTTCCCGGTTCCCACTGCCCAGAGTGGGCTTGGTAGCATTTTGTAATTAACTCTTTGGTTTGAAATAACTTATCGATAGAATTTTAGTAGGTGTTAACCTTCCCAAATAGCTTTGATCAAATAAGTTTAGGAAGCCCTGGGGATTTTTCCTTCAAGACTTCACGTGGCCTTCAGTACGAGGCACAAGGCCATAAACCACTTGCCCAAGGTCACAGAGCCTAGATTTGAACCCCAGCAGTCTGGCTGCAGAGACCTTGCCCTCGGACAGGGATGGGCCGATATTTCCTGTGAAAAGTAAGTATTTTAGGCTTTGCTAGTCACATGGTCTCTGCTACAATATTCATTCAGCTCAAACGCAGCCATGGGTAATGCATGAACAAATGGGCATGGCCGTGTCACAGAAACACTTTCTTTGCAAAAACAGGCTATCCCCAGATTTGGCTCAAGAGCAGTAGTCAGCTGACCGACCCATTCTAAACCCCACACTATACAGTCATCCCGCCTTGTCCACAGGGGATACGTTCTAAGACCCCAGTGGATGCCTGAGACCGTGGATAGTACCGAACCCTATACATATCATGCTTTTTTTCCTATACATACATACCTATAGATAAAGCTTATAAATTAGGCACAGAGATTAACCACAGTAACTAATAAAACCGAACAATTATAACAATCTACTGTAATAAAAGTTATGTGAATGTGGCATCATTAAGATAAGTGACCTGAGGTCCGGCCGAGCGGCGCAATGGTTAAGAACTGGCTTTGGGACGCCAGAGGGCCCCGGTTCGGATCCCACATATGAGGGCCAGTGACACTGCCCTCCACAGCTAAGATGCTGAACAACAGCTCAACCTGGAGCTGGGCTGCCATGAGTCGCCGGCGACAGTGTAGGCTGCAGCCCCTGTGGCAGTGGGTTGCCATGGGCTACCGTATGTAGCCAGAAGCCAGCGTGAGCGGCCAGCAGCCGCAGTGAGCAGCCGTCCAGAAGCCGGTGACTGATCTGCCTCACCCGGGAAGAACGCAATGATGGTGCCAACTTGGGCCAGTGAAGCAACGTCCTCCACACAACTAGACTGAAGAACAAAAGGATAGCAACTTGTCTGTTCCCATCCCCCCAACTCCCCAATAAAAAAATCTTTTAAAAAAAAACTTTTTTTTTTTTAAAGTGACCTGAACACAAGCCCTGTGACACCATGATGGTCAATGTGATCCCCGAGACAGCTCCTGAGTGACTAATGGGCGGGGAGTGTGGAGAGCACAGAGACGCCGGACAGAGGGGTGATTCACATCCTGGGTGGGATGGGGCAGGGCAGCGTGAGATTTCATCTCGCTACTCAGAACAGCATGAATGTAAAACTTACGAATCGTCTATTTCTGGAATTTTCCATTTAATATTTTTGGACTGCAGTTGACCGAGTAACTGAAACTAAGGAAAGCCAAACTGTGGATGGGGGGGGAGGGCGGAGGAGGGGGGAGCTGCTATCTTGCTCCCAACAGGCACACGAAGGATAAATGTGCCCAGCCTGTGCCTTAGGGGAGAACAGAGGGAAATTAAAGAATTTCCTGAGAATATCTAACACCCAAAATGGGGGCAGGGACTCAGCTACAGATCATTCAAGGAGATCTTAGCGAGAGGGTAAGGGGCTGAAAAGGCAGGTCGGGAGGGGAAGAGGTGCAGAAGGACGTCGCCACAGGACATTTTCCTGCTCCGGGAGGTCTTGTCACTTGGTGATGCCCCCGACTCTGAGTGTGTCCTGCTGTCTCTGGACCCACACGCTCCCCTCCACCTTCCTCATGACCATCAGCCTCAGTGCCTGCGGCTCAGGCTCCCAGTATGGCCTCACTGCCTCCCAGGCTTTGTCAGCTCACTCTTGGGAGTGTTTCTTAGCGCCAGCAGGGGGGCCGCGGAGGTAAGCACGACATGGAATACATAAAACGCGGGGCTTCGCGGGCCAGGAGACTCCTGGGGGCTTTCCTGCCTCGGGCCAGGATGAAGCTGTAAATGTTCTGAATTTCATCACAGAGATGGATTTCCCATGATGCCTCAGGGAGAGCGCTCCTCCCCGCTTCAGGGGAACCACTCAGTAACGTCCAAATGCTGAAACTGTGCAGGCAGGGGGATATAGGGGAGGAGGGGACACGGAGGGAAGCCCACTGGGCATGGGGCCTGGGCCTAGGGCACAGCCCTTCCTGGGTAGCTGTTCCTTTACCTAGAAATGGGGGGCTTAGGCAAGGGCCTCGCTCCCCCACGTGCCATCCATGGACCAGCAGCACTGGCTCCTCCCTGGAATTGGTGAGAAATGCAGTCTCAAGCCACATCTCAAAGCTGGGGATCAGAATCTGCATTTTAACAAGACTCATTATAAAGCAATTTATATGCACATTCAAGTTTAAGCAGCACGAAATCTAGGGGGTTTCATGGTGGGCACTGCTGTTTCCGCCTGTCCAGCAAGCGTCCCGTCTTCTGGTAAAAGCACTCTGGTTTTGGGAAATCCTCCCCACCCTCAATCCAAGTGTTTGGGGACCTGAGTCTGGGGTGGGTGGAGCATCTGACCCAGGCCTGGCCAATCAGAGCATTCGACCCCGCTGGCCCACAGGTTTAGGGGAGACAAAAGAGATTCAGTAGCGTATAAGTTGGGAGTTGCTGGTCCTGGCCCTCTGGGTACCATCCAGGGCCACCTGCGGAAAAGCAGAATTCAGAGATGGGGAAGAGCCCTGCCACAGTATCTGAGCACCTGGATCCAGATGTGCCTGAAAGGGGAGCCCCCTGGCCAATGCGACAGCCGGATTCGTGCAGCTCTGCGGGTCTGATCTGAACGGCAAACGAGAGAGAGCTCTGGTGTCCATGGAGGAGCGCCCATATGCCTCTCTCTCCTGCAGCGTTTCCATCCTCCCTGTGCCCTGAAGTGTCTGTCTCCCTTCCCGGGAGCTTAGCACAACTGCTCGCCTCACCGAGGTGTCAGGGGACAGGTTTGCAGTGGGCATGAAGGCACTTTTAATCAGCAAGTCCTCACTGAGTACTGGCTACATTTGAGGTTCTGGAAACATGTCGAGATATGAAAAAAGTGCAAAAACCAATGTCCTGAGTCGTCAAGGAGTTCACACGGCACACATCACGGAAGGTGTTTATGAAACAACATGGGACAAAACTGATGTGCCCTGGGAAGTTTCTAAATGCTGAATGGGTGCCGGGGAGGGGAATAAATAGCCCTCCATCTGGCTGGCTCTCCCGCCCCAGCCCCGGGTGGGGGGGACGCCTCTGCCACCACTGAGGGGAATGGAGAGCAGCCCTGCCCACACAACCCTGCTCACCTCCCATGAGCAGCGCAGGCTGGCAGGCTCCAAGCCAGCCCCCAGGCGCACCAGCTCCCTCCTCCCACCTTCACGCCCTCACAGGGATGATGCCCAGGCTCCCAGCTGTCTACCCAGCTGGCAGCAGCGGCTTCACCCTGAGTGGGCGTTTCTAAGCAGCTGCTCTCTCCTGCCCACCTGCAGTGCCCAGGCCTGGTGAGGCCCTAGCATTATCAATGACAGACAGGGACAGGATTTCAACGCCCCAACACCCAGGTTCCAGCCTGGCAGCCAAGGCCAGCTTGTTTTGTCCTCGGCCACACTCAGGCCTGCATCATGCCCAGAGTTACCTGTGTGTGTCCGTGCCCCTCTTTGCAAAGTGCTCTAAGAGGTGTGCATGAAAGCTTACAGTCACTTGGAAACAACCATCGAGGCTGGCGGCCGCCCCGATGGTTGTGCAGTATGTAAATGGCTCCCTCTAGAGGTAGGAGAGCTCTAAAGATACTGGTGAAGGCTGGTGTGGGGTGGGAAGGAAATCCGTCTTATTGGATGGGGTCTTTCCCCGGATTTGTCTCATCTCTTACAAATACTCGTACTCAACACTCTGCCACACAGGGTCACTCTAAATGCCCACGCTTTATGTGTCATTTACTGTCCTCATTGCAGGAGTCTGCAAAACTCAGAAAGAGGGAAACACGGGAAAGGGCCCCCACACTTCAGTTTCACGTGGGAGCTTTCCTGGAGGTGCCTGAGCTGCCTAGCCCCCAACAGGAAGTCGATACAGTAGCGAGAGAGAGCAAAGCCTGTGCTGTAATCATTGGCAATGAACTTGCTTTCCAGGCCTTTAAGGAAACCCACCCCACAGTAAATTGCTGGAAGGCCAATCCCTTCTAGGAGCCGATGACTTTCATCAAATCTGACAGCATTTTGGTAAACGGCGGCTCTGTTGATTAGGCCGCTGTCCACCCAAGTATTACAAGGCCGAGGAAGCCATAAATCTTAATCCACAGATAGCAGCAAGAAGATCTAAGGCCGAGAAGCGGCGGGGGGAAGGACAGTTCTACCCAGCGCCCATTTATCACCATCAGCCATTCCACAGAGCCGGCGGCAGCTAAAAGCCCAACGCAGCGGCGCCATGTGCCTCCCTGGTCTCCCCAGAACTGGAGAGCCCCAGGAAGGGTTTCACAGGAGGAGATGGTGCCTCTCAGCCAGTATTCAGCTGCCTGGGACTTTCTGGCCCAGGGATCCTGGGGCCGGTGTGGCTTAAGCAGCCCCTTCCATCAGGGGCAGCTCTACCCCAAAGTGCTTCCTATTTGCTGGACAAGAGCTAAGAAGGGAAAGCCATTCCACTGGAAGAGGCAAAGGTATTGGCTTGGTCCATGGGAGGGGAGGTGTGGGGGAGACGCTGAGAAAAACTAGCAAGACCACAGGGTGGAAAGTTCAGGGACGCAACAGGGAGGAGGCGGTGCTGGCGGTGTAGGGGCTGTGATGGCTGGGCTCACTGACCGCTCTGCCCCTGCTGACCCAGCCTGGCCACAACAAATGTACAGTGGCTGTGTGGCCCCACCTGTCCCTCCTGCTGGGTGCAGCCATCCAGGAGTCACCGCAGAGCTGGGACAGGGCTATGGTCCTTCTTCCAATGGGGTGGCTTCTGAGAACTGACCACCACTGACCACTCTGCCTCCCAGGACAGGGGAGCCCATTCCAAAGGGTAAAGAAACTCTTTAGCTCCATTCTATGGACCCAAAATCTGTCACCATGAGCTTGCTACCATGGGGACACTTGCTTCTTACCTCTACTACTTGGGGCCAAAGGGAAACAAGCCCAGCCCCTCTTGCTCGTGACAATAACAGTACCGTTGGCACTCTGAGGCCACTTACTGTCCTGTCTACAACCTGCTTGATGGAAGCGAGGGCCCCAGTCCCAGGGCAGGCGGGCTCTGAGCCATCAGCCCTGGTCCCCGCCTCTAGCCACAGCCGATCCAGGCGGAAGTTGGCCTCTTGTCCTGACCTGTGGGCCAGGCCATGACCCAAATAACAAAGACAGGCTGAGAGATTCAGATGGTCTCTCCCTTGGAAAATGACAACAGACAACTGAGGGAGTGAAACACAGACACGGAGAAGGCCCAACAGGCAGGGAAAGCTGAAGGGAGGGGAAGATGGGGATAGGGGACAGAGGCGTGAGGGCTGGGGAAGGTTCCAGAGAGAAACGGGCTGAGTCAGCTTACAGAGAGCGCGGCTGAAAGCCTCCCGCCTGGTCCCCCTGCAGCCACCTGGCACACGGCAGCTAGGGATCTTTCCAAAACACCAGCCCAAATATGCCACTCTCCTACCGAAAACCTTCCAGGGAGCTCCTCACACAAAATAAAATCCAAACTCCTTCCCGGGGTCTTCCAGGCCCAGTGTGATCCAGCCCCTAGACCTGTGACCCCAGATCCCACGCACGGCCTCCCCAGCCTCCTCTCAGCCTCACCCCACTTCCCAAGCCCTCCACCGAGACTCTCGCGCCAGACCTTCCTGGGTCACCTTCAGGCATCAGCTCAGACGTGGCCCCTGGGGAAGCTTTGCAGCCTGCCCTCTCTAGGTAAAACTTCTCCCAGACACTGACCATCTCATCCCACGCTTTCCTCTCCTTCACAGCACTTACTTATTTGCTCGCCTGTTTGCTTTGGGTCCCTCTCCTCTCCTCCCATGTCCCGTAAATGCAAGCTCCAGGGGAGCTGGCCTGTCCAGCGTCACTCGCCACTCTGACTGCAGCACCTACAAGTGTCCAGAACTTAGTAGGCGCTCAGTAACTGGGCACGGAAGAAACGAAGGATTGAAGGGGTAAAGACTGATGAGCCCTCGGCCGGCTGCCCCTGCACTGGTCACAACGGTCATACCATTTACTGAGGCTTCCTCTGCTTGAAATGCTTGTCAATCCTCATGGACGACTCTATGGCAGGTCCCATCATCAGCCCCACTTACAGACAAGAAAACGGGCACCGAGCGCTTTGGCATCTAGGACAATGCAACCAGTAAGTGGCTTTGAACCTGGGCCCTGGATGCCTGAGTCTGTGCTCTTCATCATTCATTTCTCCGGACTTGTCTGTCACCTGCCTCCAAGGGCTTCTGCCTGAAGCAGCAGCGGCAGAAAAGTGGGCCCGCAGATGGGCCACCTGGAACAGACAGCACACGCGTTCCTTCCCAGCAGCCCTGGGAGGTTTCATTGGTGACGAGCCCAAAAAAGCTCAGGGAGGTCACACTGCCAACTTCAGAGCACACAGCTAGTAGAGTTTTTCTGACTACAAAACCCTTTCTCTTCTACTCCCCAGGGGTCAGAGGCCCAGATGTCCCAACCAGCCACGTGGGAAATGGAAAGGTGAGTGTAAGCGAAACACCAGCAGAGCAGATAGCAAACCGCACCTACCCCTGGCCCTCAGCTCTGGGCCTAACGGGAGCGCTGGGGACAGCAGCACACAGGTGGGCTTCTGCCCTTTCTAAGGGGACGGCCGCTCCTCGGCTCCCTCTAGCGGTGCCTGATGGGAGGGCAGCCCAGCCTGGAGGCCAGATCTTCCCATTTCTTCACAGAAGTGGGGATGGAACGTCTTAAAAAATATTGTCAATCTTTTGAATTTAAATGTTAGCAAGTGACTAAGTCTTTTTAAACTGTGTGAGTTCAAACGACGCTACCTGGGGCAAGTTTGGCCCATCGGCTGGACGTGTTAACTGCGGAGTCCACCAGGCCAGTCATCTGCGTGTGTGGAAACAGCTGTGGCACCTCCCTCCTGGGTTAGCGCTTCCCTGTCCTCACAGCTGGACCTTCCTGGACAGGAACTGAGCCTCATCTGATTTTCTGTTTTTAACCTCAGACCCTCGCCCAGCGCCTGGCCTGTGGGAGTCACTGTCTGTTAAATTAATAGGTGATTTCTTTCACAGCATGGCTTACAGTCCCTCACCACTGCTAACTGCTCCCTGGTTTGTCTGTGTGACTGAGGAGTAGTCCCCAGAGGGCCGTGTGCAGGCGGAGCGCAGCTGATGGGTAATGGGGGGGAAGGCTGACCCCCAGCACCCATTCTTCTCTCCTCTCAGGGGCCTCTCTGTTCAGTCGAGGCCCAAAGCCAGACACTGAGTCTCCCAGACTCTCTTTCAGTTGGGGTCCTGGACATGACTTAGGTGAGCGGATCAGATGACCGTGTACTCGGCAAGGACAGCAGAAGTGAGTGCAGAGGCTGTGTCTGGGTTCCACACAGTGGCGGAGGCGATGTCCCTCCCTGGCTGGACAGGCTATGGGGGAGGTCTTTCTCACAGCGTCACTCTGAGGCCCACGGTTGTGGCAGTGGCTTCCGGGTTCCCGGATCCCAGCTCAGGTGACACATTCCTGGTGCTGACCTCCAGCGTCCCTACTGTGTGCTCGGTAGCAGCTTCTCTGGCTGGCTGGAACGAGGAGGCTGCTGGGCACCGATCCTGGAGGAGGCCGCGCTCAGAGCCCATCCCCCCACCAACCCCAGATTTCACAAGCACCTGACTTGCTGCACTAATTCCCTTCTGATCGAAACAGCCTGAGTGGTCCCTGTTGTTAGGCATGGGCTGACCCCTGACAGAAGGACAATTACAGCATTCATGGCACTGGGGACGCCAGGAAATGAGCCGTGATTAGGCCCTGTGAAGTGAGGGACTACAGGGAGACACTGGAGAGGGATGCTAATTAATCTTAGGTCGAGGCTTTTAAAGTGCCCAGACTCCGGGGTGGGGGGGAATAGGGGGGTGTGGGGGGGCGGCCATTAAGTGACAGCCTAAGATGCAAATACGGCCCCTGATAACAGAAGGCTCTCAAAACAACTCCAAGGACGGTCTGAAGCAAGAAGCCCAGAAAGGCCTCCTCACTGAGAAACTGACATTCCTTGCTGGGGACAGAGGGGCCTTCAGGCTGTGCGCCCTTCTGGCTCATCAGACCGGAGCAGGCCGGCAGGAACCCCTTCCCCATTTCATCAGAGACCCACAAATGTCCCTGCAGAGAAGCGGGAGGCCACTGGGTTTGGAGTCACAGGTCCAGGGCTCAAACCTCAGCCTACCCTCCACCCTTAGGAGCTGTGTGCCTCTGAGCAAGTCGCCTTGCCTCTCTGGGCCTCAATTTCTCCAATGGCACGATGAGGATACGTACAGGCCTACAGGGTTATGGCGAAGATAGGCCGATAAAGCCGATGAAAGAATGTACTATGGGCCCATACATACGGTACAGTGTAAAATGTGAGGCGGTCCTGCCCAATCGTGATGAGCACAGGATTAAAAATATGTATATACCATCGCTTAAGCCTCACCTCCGACCACGTGAGTCAGAATGTCTGGGGCTGCGGCCTGAGCATTGGTATTTTACGACCTCGAGGGCGATTCGAACCTGCAATGGGGGCTGTGACACGCTGGTCCCAGGTCAGGTGTAAGGGCTATGGCAACACCACTGAGCTTGGGGCCAAAGATCTGGATTTGAGTCTTGATTCTGCCACTTCCTGGGGATTGACCTTGGAAAGCTCATGCGACTTTTCTGAACATGCATCTCCTCAGCTCCCTTAAAGGAGGGAGGACGCTGAACTTACCCTACAGCCCTGCCGTGAGGGCGAAGGGGAATAGTCTCGTGGGAGTTGAGCCCATGCCTGGTCCCCAGCAGGGGCTCGAAAATGCAAGGAGCTGCATCGCCAGCAACCAAGGTAGCACCCAGGTCTGTGGGGCAGGGGCCCTGTCTTATTTCCCCACTGCAGCCCTAGCATCTAAGACCGTGCCTGGTACATAGTAGGTGCTCAATAAAAATAACAGTTGCACAAATGAGTCATCATAGCGGGGCTGTGAATCCAACCTGTGATTCTCCAGAGTGGGGCTGGGTGGCCCATCCAGAGTGGAGGATCATGCCAAGAAAGAGGCTGGAGGGCCCAAGGGCTCCTTCACTCTCCTGAGACCAGTGCCCCATGCAGAGAGGGCACCACTACAGTGCCCGGCCAGACCCCATGGCGAGTCCGAACACTCAATTATGTTTCTGTTCCCTCAATAACCCCACTCCTTATTCTAAAGCGTGACCTGGGGTCACCGTCTCAACTGCCCAGCGTTCCCAGACCTGGTGCCATCCTCGACGCTGGACCTTGCTGGGGGCCGTCCGGGAATGGCGTTGTAAAGCTTCCTCCGCTTCTCGAAGCAGGGTTCTCTGTCCGTAATCTGCACCAGAGACGAGGGAGGAGACTTGGTGAGGGGTCGATGACAAGCTCATGCCGATGACAGTTCAGTAACTTACGTCTGAAATACACTTCAGTGTGCCCACAACCCTGGACGTGAAGCTATTTGCTGGCACTGTTTGTAGCAGCGAGACATTAGGAAGCAAGCTAAATGCCCAGCAAACACAGGACAACGTAAGTCACGGCGCCTCCACGCTATGAAATAGTATGCGGAATGGAATAATCTGCAGCCAAATCAGGCAGGTCTGTCTATATACAAAAGTAACAAGCCTCCCAGATACAGAAGCAGGATACGGGTCAGCATACCAACACTCCAGGATTTGTGTGAAAAAGGGGCAAGGGGAGAGATGTGTGTGGAATGAGGGAACACGCTGCTGGTGGCCCAAGCACAGAGCCTCCTGTTACCTGTGCCTCCCTGAGACCCGGACTCAGGAAGGCCTGCTTCTCTGAATTGGTAAGCTGATGTGCGTAGGATGAGGCCCCAATGTTCCTGACTAGGTGACAGAGCCAGGGCTTGGCCTGGGAGGGCCTGCGCTCACCATGTGTCCCCTCGGCATGCGAGGCGCTTCTGGAGAAGTCGGGATGGACAGCTTTCCGCAGCGACGTCCTCAGTTTAGAATTGGCCCCGTTGACGTAGACAGAGAAGCCCTGCTCCAGATGCTCCAGCCTCAGCTGCATGGGGTCCTTGGTTTTCAAATGCTTTAATATCCTGGGAGAGAAATGATTGCTTGCTCATTACATGAGTGTGGGCGGCCGCCCACCCCCATGTGGGGAACAGAACTGCTGCTCTGATCATCGGAGGCCGGGTGGCGGGTCCCCAGCTGTTCGGCCCATTACACACACACACACACACACACACACACACACACACACANACACACACACACACACACACACACACACACATACACACGGAGAAGCCCCAAGGGGGAGCCTGTTTCCGGCCCTGCAGGAGTGTTTCTGCTTTCTCTCAGAGGCTCTAACACACGTTGGCAAAAATGAAGGCACACATCCTGGCCCCGTGGTGGCCGACACCAAATGCGGGCATGTGCACACACTGCTTCCACAGAGCCTGCACCTCCTGGGATAGCCCCAGTGTCCTTTTCTGCTGTGTGTGGACAACGGCACTTTGTTCGATGCGTGAGCCAACATGGGTTCATGTAACATACCCACCAATCAGGAAACACCCTTGGGCAGGCCAGGCGGACTGCTCTTTTGCTTCAGCAAATACACGTGCTCTCAAACCCTCGCCCCTGTTATTGCAAATGTCACCAGTTTATATTTTGATGCAGTTAAAAATGTATCAATGCAGGCGTTTGTTCAAGAGTAAGATGTGATTGTCACTCCCTGTGGCTAAAAGCCTCTGGGCCTGAGCATGGCCAGGTCTCCAGCTCAGTTCTGTCTACAGCCCGGCCTCACAGCTCGGGCTGGGTCCTTCCCCCACCCCTGATCTGCTTTGCCATCAACGGGGTGCAGCGGGCTCTTCAGCCAAACACCTCAGTGACATTACAGACCCCTTCATGCACCCCCCATCAGCTGGATTTATTTTGGCACAAGAAAAAATACAGACAACCCACCAATAACATGGCAACAAGCGTGCGTCCTCCTCAGGGATCAAGTAAGTTTCCAGCCAAGGAGCGAGATGTAAATTCTACAAAATAATGATAACCAATCCCATAGAGGGTGTGTGCTACGTGCCAGACTGTTCAACGCTTTACATCAGCCATTGAGCCTCATTAATCCTGCTAGTTCCGTTCTATAAAGCTGCCGCATACATCGGATGAGTGAACGGAACACCCCTGCTCCCAGGGGAAGATCCGGGACTTGGGTCCTGTGAGCCCTCCAGTCACGTTTTCATCAACAGATCGACATGTAGCCTCACTTTGTGAGAGTTTCTGTTGAAAGGCACTGTATGTAATAAAGAGCTGATGCGTAAACACTGACTCACGGCCCGCGGCACATTAACTCACATCTGAATGAAGCCTCACTAACACGTGTGTGTATTTTCTCTGTGGGAACCTCACAGCCCCCTCCCACTTAGCAACACTAGACGGCACTTCAGCTAGGCTGGGGCCAGTGGACACGGCAGACTCACCAACAAAAAGCACAAGAATGTGGAAAGCATGGCCCTACGTGTGCCAGAAACAGGAACCCTGCTTACGTGTGAGAGCAAAACATGGCAGAGCTGCCAAACTCCACCCTCAGCTGAGAACACGCATCTACATCAGGCAACTAAAACTTATTGCCGCTCCGCAGATGTCTTGGAACGACTGTGAAAGCACTATGAGCACTAATTTGGGGGCTACAAATACACTTCAGTGAGCTGATGAATTCACAAATACAGAATCTATGAATAATGAGGCTTGATGTGAATCGCCACAGCCACCTATGGGGCCATCACACTTATAATCCCCATTGACTAGATAAGGAAACAGAGGCACACAGAGGTTAAGTAACTTGCCCAAGGTCACACAGCTAACACAGTGGCAGGGTTAGGGTACAAACATAAGCAACTGAGCTCCAGGGTCTTCCCCACAACGAAGACAACTTCTAAGGCTCGCGAGGTGACGTGGAAGCAGGTGAACATTAGACGCTGCTGGTAACTCAGAGCCTTCTCAGAAGTAACGTGAAAATACAGAAAGGGCCACATGCTTTGTCAGAAACAATGGTCAGCATTCAATCATAACCAAACCCTGAGAGCAACCCAAATGTCCCACGGCAGGAACATGGAAACTGGGAGCTCACACAGCCGTTGGAATTAGGAAGAATCTGTCCAAGTGCTTGGGATCTATTCAGTCAGAGGGTAGAAAATGCAGAATAAAAATGGTACATACGTGGTCAGCACAAAGTTGGGAAAAAAAAGTGTGTGTATGGACCCAGAGGGGAAGGTGATATGTGTGAAAATTAAATCAGTTATTAAGGTAGGGTGGCGTTATGGGGGTTTCTGTTTGCTTTTTAAAATGTTTCTTGAGTTGCTGCTACATCCATCTTTTTAACCATCGTGGCAGGAACATTTATCATAGACTGTTTATCTCTTGCCAGCCTCGGAAAACCTAGGAGATGCCAGGTTGCGGGGCAGCAGCATAAAACAGGAGGAAAGCAATGTAACTAAGAGACAACTTCCAAACACAGCATTCGCCACACTCGCTGGAGCAAACAGTCAGGGCTCAGGGGACACCCAGTCTCCGAGGACAGGCCAGCAGGGATCCCAGGCCCTGGGAGGCCCAGACTTGGGTAGGACAGAGGCAGAAAATGTGACCACCAGGCAAGGAGCGCCTGCCTCAACTTCCCTCCAGACACTGTCCTGTCCCCTGATGCTTCCTTATCAGCTAAGGGGGCCTCCTGTTCCCCAGGACCTGGGGCTGGCACTCCATGTGGGCCTCTCCTTAAGCAGGATGATTTATGAAAATGTGGATTTATGAAGCTGATAAATGAGGAGATAATTATTCAAACTGTGAAAGGACCCGCTGCAGGAACGCCTCTGCTGCAGCGGAGCGCATCCGTCCAGTTCACGTGGCATCGAAAGGAAAGTGGGATTTGTTTCACTGATAGCCTGCTTTGCCTAAAAAGCTGCCCTAGGAGAAGGGGATTCAGGGAAATCAGACTCGGTCCCTGCCCCGTCACAGACGGAAGCCCTGCCCTGCTGCCTGGGCACACTATTCTCTCATGGGTTGTTTTGTTTCATAGCACGTCTCAAGCGGCACCCTACAGCACAGCATCTGTGTCTGTTTATCCTCCTTCTCTCCCACACCCACCCCACCCCCAGCATCTGAGCCCTGGGCACTGGGTCCACGCTGAGTGCGAGGAACAGAGAGGAATGCTCTGTCCCTGGTTCTGGAACGAGTGGCCCCGAGGAGCTCCAGGTCCAGCGGAGAGAGCAGACATGGCCATGCGACCTCCTATAGCCTCTGCGGGCTGGATGCACAGCGCAGGTGTCACGTCCGCTTTCTCCCGTGCTGACCTTTGCGTCCCTTGTACCCAGAGCTCTTCTGTACAGAAGTGGAACTGGAGGCACCAGGAGGGAGAGCACAGGGTGACACGAGGGGGGATGGGGACAGGACACGCTTGCCGGCTGGGTGGTCAGGGCACAAGCAGGGTCCCAGGCACTGAGAGGACGTAGCGGGCTCACAGGGTGGGCAGCGTGCTGCTTATGGACCTAATGGTGCCTGGGTTCCAGGCGGAACTGTCTGGGTCTCAGCGCTGACGTTGCTGTGTGACTGCGAACCAGCCATGTGGCTCCCCTAGACCTCAGTTACTCAAAGGTTCAACTGAGGGGTTCTCTAAGGGTCAGGCATTCGAGGGGATTCCAGATGCCGGCTCAGAGACAAGGCATGTTTAACAATAAAATGATGAAGGTGATGAGGGAGCAAGTGCACCTGGGTGGCAGGCTTACTAAGGACCTTCAAGTGCCTTGTCACACTTAGTTCTTCCTGGTCCTGGGACTGAGGCCCCACCGTCTGCCTGTTCTATAGATGAACTTGCCCAAGGTCAGAGCCAAGGAAGCAGCCAGATCTAAAGTCGGGTCTGCAAGGCTCCGGAACCTGTCTCCACACCACCAGCTCTGCTGGTTCTTGTCTCCTCACCAGGTATTACACCACCAGGGCTCTGAGCAGGGAGGGCTCAGGCAGAGCAGTAGCTCCCGGGGGGCGGGGCGTCTGGGAGGTGGTGGCATCTGAGTCCAGCCTTGCAGCATGGAGAAGCCCAGAGCAGGGGTGCAAAGAGCCTGCCATTGGGCTCTGGGAATTTGTCCTCTAGGATGTCACCACTCCCATCCGCGGAGGCCCTGCCATTTCCCCAGCTTGTGTGACCTGGGCACATCCCTAGGTTTCCTCTTCTGCAGAATGAGACCAAAAGTGCCTCCACCTCTCTGGGTTGTCATGGGGACGGAATAGGAGACCAGGCTGAAGCCCCAGCTCAGAGATGGGCCCATGCGGGGCCCCCACCAGATGCTGGTTCCCCTGTTGCTTCTTTCAGCCGGGTCTCCCCTTGAGGCAGTGGGTTCGCCTCTCGTGTGGGCACGTTTTCCTATAAGTTTCCTTCAAACAGCCTTTTCCAAAACACAAATAATACCACTGCTGGCTTCCTGGACCTGTGTGTACAGCCCCTGGTGGCTGTTAGCGCCTCACCTCCCAGCCCTCTCATCAGCCTGCTTGCTCTTCCCTGAGTCCTGCTGGGTGTGGTGACATCTTTCCAGAAGTTGAGTGACCAGAATCAAGAATCACTCGGTGTCCTCGGGGAGGGTCTGTGCACGGTGAGCCAGATACCACCTCTCCCTCCCTCCCCCAAGGCCTTTCCTGGAGCACATGGTCACTTTCTGCTTCTCCTGGCATTGTTACAGGTGACCTGGTGCTACCCGGGGTGGGAAGGGCGGGGGGGTCCCTCCAGGGCAAGGGCTGGGTCTGGGTGGTGGGCACCCCCCCCCCATCTCCCAAGCGCAGCCGTGCCTGTGGATCCCTTTTGAGCTCCATTCCTTCCTCACTCCACAGGGTTTAGATGAGGCTCACTCCACCCCCAGCTTAATGGGACGGCCAAGGAGCAGCCCGTCAGACCTGTTACCTCACCAGACATAAGGCGATGGGCTTAGGGGTGGGAGTGGGGCGCCAGCCAGATCACTGGGTATCCTTCTCGGCACTTGTGCTGGGACCATGAGGACAGGTGTGCTCTCTTGCCCTCGAGATGGGATGTAAGTGTGGAGTGTCCAATGGCGGCCTTGGCCTCGGAGGGGAAAGCGCCCTATGGCGACTCCAACAAGGGGAAACAGAGCTGCGAGATGGAGAACGACTGACTGGTGACATAACTTGAGTGCCTGGATCCAGCTGTGCCTGAAGCCAGAGTATCATCCTGGATTTCTCAATTTCATGAGCAGTAAGTTTCCTCGTTGCCTGAAGTGCACTGACCTTGGGTTTCCGTCCCTCCCAGAACAGAAGCACTGGGGCAGCCTGCATCTCCCCATCCCAGTGCTCTCCCCACACTGCTGGGGGTGCTGGGCGCTGAGCAGGAGCTCAGTGAACTCCTACTAAATGAATCAAAGACTAGTGTCGCTCAGCCACTTGGGGCCGCCGTGTTCTGGGCCTACTCCCCTAAGAACGCGCCCAGTGACGGCACAGCCCCTCTGAGGTCCCAAGGCAGCCCAGGTGCGCAGCCTGGTTTTTCACCGCCCTCTCGTCCCAGGGTGAAGCTCAGGGACTGGTTTTCCACCAGGTCCTATGACTCGATGTCCAAGCAAACTGCAGTTGATTCCCACAAAACCCCTGCGTAGTGAGTTCAGAGCCACCGGCGACCCTGGCGGGTTTCTCTCCTCTTGATTATTTACGACCATGTCGAGCAAAACATAAATAAGAAAGGACAGCTGAGCTCCACCGCTTCCTGGCTGCAGGACCTTGGGCACAGGGCATGCTCTCTGAGTGTCCACATCCTTGTGCGCAAAATGGTGCAACAACTATATCTGCCTCGTCGGGTCGTGTGTAGATAAAACAAGATGATGGGATGAGGCGCCTGGCGTGTGGCTGGCCCTCCTGAAAAACTTCCTTTAAACCAACCCTGGACGATAGCTCAGCGGGAACCCCTCTGCACGTGTGTCCATTTGGAGGTGTCTTTCTAGCTCCACCTTCTCATTTCCAGTTGTCCAGCCAGCTCCCCCTTGGTGACAACACCCCCTCCCCATGCTTTATGGCAACTCAGTTTTGATACACTTTTTTTTTTTATTGGGTAATTGGGGGGATGGGAACAGTGCTGGGGAATTAGGGGAAGGGGAACAGACAAGTTGCTGTTGTTTTGTTCTTCAATCTAGTTGTGGAGGACGCTGCTTCACTGGCCCATCATTGCGCTCTTCCCTGGCGAGGCAGATCAGTCGCCGGCTTCTGGACGGCCGCTCACTGCGGCTGCTGGCCGCTCACGCTGGCTGCTGGCTACATACGGTAGCCCATGGCTACCCACTGCCACAGGGACTGCAGCCTATGCCGTAGCCAGCAACTCACGTCAGCCCAGCTCCAGGTTGAGCTGTTGTTCAGCATCTTAGCTGTAGAGGGCAGTGTCACTGGCCCCCTTATGTGGGATCCGAACCGGGGCCCTCTGGCATCCCAAGCGAGTTCTTAACCATCGCGCCACTCGGCCGGCCCAATACACGTTTTAATTGCCTGGGCGCGGCCACCTTGTCACCATATATTCTCATCCACACTGTTGGCTGGTGCCTCTTTGATGGTACATTGATCCCCCAATTAATGAAAAGAGATTTGCATATCTGACACTTTCCTCCCCGACAAGTCACATGGGTTTGATTAACCGAGTGTGTTCGGGGACACCATCCAGGCTGCCAGAACCTGAATGAAAACATCCCGCTCTGTGGCATCAGTGATGACAAAAACCCACAGTGGGCTGATATCTTCTGCTAGTCTAGCTGGAGGTCGCCTCTGGGCTGGAGGGAGATGGACACAGAGGAGGTGGCTGGCATTTCTGGCTGGTCCTGGAGGGGTTTCTATTCAGAGGTTCCCCACTGCAGGAGGTACCGCCTCACCAGGGGCACCTGGAGATGTGGGAGGGTGTGGTTGTCATAGAGACTGGGGGTCTTAATGGAATTTAGTAAAGTGGCCGGTGGGTGGGAACACCAAGCTCCTACAACACAGGGGACCATCGTGCACCTAAAACTTGTCCCGTGCGACATGCCACGGGAGCCCTAGGTGACAGGCCGTGGGAGTCTGGCCAGTCAGAGAAGGGCTGAATCCATGTTCAGGATGACAGCCCCAGACGCTCTCTCCTGCAAGACCCCAGGCTCATTCCCGAACACAAAGGCACAAATGAGCGCCCCTCCTTCCGCCTCCTGCAGGCGCATTCTGCACTTTCATCTGAATTCAGTACCAACGTTTTAAAACACAGGAGGGTTTTTTTTTTACAACACAAACCCAGATTTCCAGGTTCTCGCACAGCCTTGGGGGGATATGGACCCCTGGGGCTGTGTTTCCACAGACAACTGGCCCGAGCCCCAGCAGTTTGGAAGTGAGAATTCCAGGCCCCCACCGTCCACCGGCTTCCGCCCTGCCTGGCCACTTCCAGCATGTGAGTTTGCAAACCCAGCTTCCTGCAAGGTTCTGGGACTGAAAACAAACCACGGTGAGCTGAAAATGAGCTTCTGCAGCCCTGCAGACTTCCACAGCACAGAGGGCAGGATGCCTCTTTCACACCTGACCCAAATGCTTTGACCTCGGTCACTCAACGCTGTATCTACCGAGGGCTTTTTCAAGAACCAGCACTCCAGACTCAAAACCGTACTAACTTAACCTTCAGTGACGCATCGACCCACTTCAAACACAGACATACACTGACTCCACCTTCACATAACAAGGCCTGATGACAGGCTCCGATTTCAAAGGACGGGCGCAGCCAGTAAGATCACAGCACGGGCCATTCAGGCCCTGCCAAATTCTAAATTTTCAGGACAAACCCACCTTCTCCCAGAACATAAGCAGGGAGGCAAGAGGCGGCACTTCACGCGTTGAATAGTTTGCTATAACTCAATCCAAAGACCCACTTAAACGAGTGAAGGGAGAAATAAGAGCTGGCCTGCAGAGAATATCCCCAGCCTCCAACTGGAGGCAACTACATCCCATCCTGTTGTGACCAAGAGCCTGTGTGCTGCTAACACATCTAAGCAGGGTTTTTATTGGGCTAACAGGAAGGGGTGCCGGCAAGCGGCTCCGTCTTACCGGTTCCTCTGCTGAAGCAATATTAAATACTCATCATGTTTCTCATCAAAGTCTGTCACCATGTCCTTAGTGTTACCCTGGAATGAAGAAACAGAGCAGTGTGGTATCAGAAAGCAGGGAAGCATGTACTGAAGCCGGGGGAGCAGTACATGCTTGCTGCACAGGCGGCCGCGAGGTGGGGACCCACCTTGACGCAAGCTGGCCCGCTCCCTGGACGCATCACTCAGGCGACCTAGTGCCCCAGAGGCTGCCTGATGTTCCGATGGGGCTTAACACACACCACTAACGACATGCGAAAAACGAGGTCTACTCCCCCACACCTCCCCCGTTCATTCCTCCCAGGCCCTATAAAATCAAGGGCTCAGACAAGATTTGGGCATTCTCTTTTCTCCATGCTTGTTACTGACTTATCTCAATTGTCATAAGCAAAGGGAACCCAAATCAGTAAAGAGGGGGTCTCATTTTTCTCTTGCCACTGCGAGAAAAATGTATGCTGACTGTCAACAGCTCCGTCATTATAAAAATACATGACTCAGAGTGAAGGCCCCTTCAGAGCGGACGTTTGGGGTTTTGCACCTGCCCTTTTGGCCACAGAGCTCTGGGTTTGCTCTGGGGAACCATTCAGCCCCTTCTTTCAGTTAACTGGCTTCCTCAGATGTCCTTGAAGGTTCCTTTGTTATCCTCTGGGATCACATGACTTTGGCCTCGGCCTCGCCAATCAGCACAGTGCCACAATGATTCACTGGTCTGGGGTTGAGCCCTTGAAAGTCAGCCCTGGGCTTGGCTGATAGTCCTGGGGAAAAGCTGCTCTCTTTCCACTGTAGTGCTGAGCTGATGAGACGCAGGCCTGGAACTGCGTGAGAATGAGGTGAATAAGGAGCCAGCGGATCTGAGAGATGGAGAGAGAGAGTCCTATGGATGGCGTTTGAGTCTCTAGATGCACCCCATGCCTGAAGAAGTTTCTGGACAATTTAGTGACTGCTTTACAAGTTTCGGCTGAGTTTCTTTCATTTTCAGTCCAAAGAATTATATCATCTGCCATAATGTGACAATATGTGTTTTTTTTTACAGTTTTATGGAGGGATAATTAATGAAACTACAGATATTTAAATTGACATATGTATATACCTGTAACCCCCCCATTATAATTCGATATGTATTCCACCAGATGTTTTTCTTTATTATATACATAATAATACACACAAACACACATTCTTTTAAACAAAAATACAATCACACTATAAACAATGTTTCGCAATTTTCTATTTTCCTTAAGTTTTTTTTTTTTTTTGCAAGGAATGGATTAAAGAGACAATATCAACTTGGTGCTAGTCATGAGTTACAGGGATTAAGTTTTAAATGGCAAGACATTTGTAATAGAAATGCAATTTGTGTGAAAATCCTAACAATTATCATGGGGTGAAGAGAAATAAAAAGAATCTCCATTGTTCTCTTCTTATCAAAATCTGGCTTTAACTCCACTAGTCTACCAGAATCCTACCCAAGGGTGACCCAGACCTCCTTAACCAAATAGGATAGCTCTTCCCTTCTTTATTCTATTCCATTGCTCCGGGGCCGCGGGGAACTGCTGACTGGCCCACCACCCTTAAGTGCCCAAACGCCCCTCCTGTAGCTTCTGCAGCTCTGAACAAGCCTCCCTCCTGTGCAGCTTTCTGCCTGGGGTGGGGGTGGGGGGTGCCGGCG